AAGTCCCCCCTATTATTATGTTATCCTTCTTTTATTCTTTAAAAAAAAAAAAAAAAGTGTTCAAATGAGGAGGAGAACAGCGATGGGGAAAGGAAAGAAGGGACAAGAAAAAGAATAGAAGGAAAAATGGAAACAAAGGTTTTGTAAATGAGGAGGGAAAGGGGTTGAGTGGAGGGGAGAGGAATGGGGAAAAAAGCAGGATATATCAAGTATAGGTTCCCTATGATGAATGTTATTTTGTATAAGTAAAATGTACCCATAAAATAAATTTTTAAAAAACAACAAAACCAAAGAACTCGAGTTAAGTAATCAAGACTGCGATAGGTAGAGATGACGCTGTGAGGGGGAAAGATGGAAAGAGAGGGAGTGGCTATGGCCCCTGAAAAGTCCTCTGAACTTTGGGAGTTTGTAAGGAGCCAGCCCTGCAAAGGTGCAGTAGACCAAAGAGGCCAAGCCTGGGAAGTTTTTTTCTGTTCAAGAAACTGAAAGGGTGGGCTGGGCATGATGGCACATGCCTGCAATCCCTGCACTCAGGAGGCTGAGGCAAGACTGCCAAGAGTTTGATACCAGCCTGAGCTACACAGTGAGACTCTGTCTCCAAAAAAATTGAAAGGAGGCCACCATAACGATGGGGAAGAGGGGGAGGAAGGAGCCTCTCAGTAAGCCTGTTAAAGCTTGGGTTTTCTTCTGTGAGCAGTAGGAAGCTGTGGGTGGTTTTAGGTAAGGGAGGAATTGTAGGATTTGAATTTAAAGAGATAATCCAGGTTGTTCCGCTTGTAGACAGTTCTTAGCGATTAGGAAAGGGCATTCTTTATTCACTACCTTAACCCCAATAACTGGTAGAGAGTCCAGCATAAGGTAGGTGCCAAGCAAATGTACATTGGATGAATGAGTGAACAAAGTGAACACAGTAAACGTCCTTCCATTAGTTTCTGTGATGATTGTACAATATTGATAAAACACCCTGAGTTTCCTTCAGGCCATGTTTAACCGTCTCCTTGTCCTTGCTTTAGGTCAGAGGCCTGGCTTTAAGTACTGGTATGACAAGGAGTGGTTGAGCAGAGGACATATGCATGGCTTAGCATTTTTGGAAGAGAACTACTCCCATCAGAATGCTAAGAAGATTGTGGCCACTCACCAGCTTCTTGGGGACGTGCAGAGAGTGATCGAGGTTCTGCATGGCCTACAGCTCAAGATGAGCATTTTGCAGTAAGTGTGTCCTCTGCCAGCTTTGGGGAAGAGTCTGGTTGGCATCAAATGGAGGTAGGATAAATTTGAGAGGTCAGAAAGCCACAAAATCAGTCATAAAACTGATGAGTTTAAGACGTTTACTAAAAATGTTCAGATACATGGTAAATACTCCTTCTTTAAAGGAGTACCTACCTTATTAGGGTGGGGATGTGGTTCAGTGGTGGAGTTCATGTCCACCATGTGTGAGGCCCTGATTTCAATCCCTACTACTGGGAATATCAGAAACAGAGACACTCAAATACTATTTAGTATATAATTAAGTTCATCTATCTTAAAAGGGTATTGAATTTTGACAAATGTATGCAACCAACATCATCATTGCGTTACATTTATACTTTGTTTTGGTGTGCAGTTCTGGGTTTTTTGCTTTCAGTTGTGCTAAAATATACATAGTCCAAAATTTGGCATTTAATCTATTTTTGTTTTGTTTTTAAAATAGAGTCTTGGGTCTGGGGATATAGCTCAGCAGCATGGCACCTGCCTGACAAGTGTGAGGGCCTGAGTTTGATTCCTGGTTCCAAAATACACTACACTATAATACAATACAAGTATAAAATAAAATAAAATAAAATAAAATAAAATGTCTCACTAAATTGCCCAGGATGCCGGGCGTGGTGGTGCATGCCTATAATCCCAGCATTTGGGAGGCTGAGGCAGGAGGATCGTCACTAGTTTGAGACCAGCCTGGGCTGCAAAATGAGCTCAAGGCCAGCCTGAACTGCGCAGCGAGACCTTGTCTCAAAAAGACAATAAAAAAAAGAAAGAAATAAAAAGAAAAGAAATAAATTGCCCAGGATACCCTTGAACTCCTGGGCTCAATCCTTAGTAACTGGGGCTATGGGAAGATGCCACTGTGCCCAACTTGTATTTTTTGTTTTTGTGGTACTGGGGGTTGAACTCAGAATTTTTTCCTCCCCTGCCCAAAAAGGGTTTCGCTATATACTGCTGATTGGCTTTGAACTGTGTAGCCCAGGCTGGCCTCATTTTCACAGTGATCCTCCTGTGTCAGACTCCTGAGTGCTGGTAGTACAGGAATGGGCCAGCACACCCAGCCAGAATTTCTTTGTAAGACTGAATTATGGTATTCTTTTGGTATGGGGAATTAAACTCATGATGTCATACTTGCCAGGCAGGCGCTGTACCCCTGAGCTAGATCCCTGGCCCTGAACTATGTTTCATTATATGAGTAAAGTTGAGAGCTGTTAAAAGGGTCATTGTTGGCTGGCCTGCTCTCTGGCATATTAGTTGCTGCCACATACATATACCTTCTGTTAGTGGTTTGCTCATATAGAAAAATTTTAGGCCTTTTGGAGTTGGCTTCTCTTCCCTTCCCCTTCCCCTTCCTCTTTCCCCTTTCCCCTTTCCCCTTTCCTCTTTCCCTTCCCCTTTCCTCTTTCTCCTTCCCCTCCCCCTCCCCTCTCCTCCTCTTCCCTACCCTCCCCTTTCATGGTAGTACTGGGTATACCCTAAGCCTTCACATGGAGCTACATTCCTATCCCTTTTTAAAAACAGTTTTATTTTGAGACAGCATCTTGCTAAGTCTGGGCTCAGACTTACGATCCTCCTGCCTCAGCCTTCCATGTGCCATTACACTTAGAGACTTCTAGCTTTTAGTAACTAGAAGTTTCACCAGTGAGAATGAGTGTGAACTCCTTGCTGTGGTTACATTCTCAATGTCAGATGACCCAAGTTTATGTAACTTCTGATAGACATGTGGCTCTTACTGGGGTCTCTTCTGTTTTTTATACTCACTGGAGTCTGTTGTTTTTTGTAACCTAACAAATACTGTAACTGGACCTTGAGTAGGCAGCCGGTCTTCCATGGTTTCCAGGCATGGAGCCAGGACGAGAACCCAGATCCTGCCTTACACTTCTCTAATGGCCTCTGTTCAGTGCTATAGCACGGCCATGTAAATTTTCTTCTGGTCTTAAGTATAGTCAGTGGTAGGGACTGCTTCTCTTTTGTAAAGATCGCTCCTTAAATTTTCTCGTGAGCCTTCCCATAAGAGGTCATTTTAGTTAAGTCACAGATCAGTTCCCTGACAGATTAGTTCCCTGAGTGAGTTAGACTTGGTAGGGCACTCCTGAACAAGATGTTCTTCATGCTGACTGGTCCTGGAGGCCTCCTAGTGTCAGGCGGTTCAGTGCTAGAGCCCTGAGATGGCAGGATGGGAGTCTGCTTTCTCTGTGCACACACAGGTCTAGCCTCAGATCCTGGCTTGACAAGGAGGGGCTGAGTGGGGAACATTCACAAGGGTGTAGACTGGTTTAGGTAAAAGCTAAACTGCTATAACAAAGTCCTGTCCTAGGCACTTTCTTGTTGCTGGGACAAAATACCTCACACCTGCAAGTTAAAGGAGGACAGGTTTATTTTGTTTCCCAGTTTCAGCCCATAGTAAGCCCGCTCCAAAGCAGAACTGGGATGGCAGAGGGCATGGTGAAGAAAAAGTGTTTAATGCATGGCAGTCAGGAAGGAGAAAGTCAAGGGAGATCTGAGGACCTTCCAGGCACATTGCCCAGTGATGCACCTCTTCCAACCAGGACCCCCTCCGAACAGCACATTTAGCTCTGAACTTACCAGTGGTTAATCCACTGGTGAATATAGTGTCCCAGTGATCCAGTCACCTTCTGAAAGCTCCATCTGTGAATATAGGAGCCTTCTAGGGGGACATTCTAGACCTAAACTATAACCAACCCCAAATAGAGGCTTAAATGAAATGGAAGTTTTTTTTTTTTTTTCACATAATAATAGGCAAAAGTCTAGGTCAGGATTCCATCCATGGACTTGGGGAATGGGTTTCCTTCTGTCTTACTGCTTTGGCATTCTCCCAGTGTTACCCTCATGTGAAAGGCCTTCTGTTCTTTGTCTGCTCGGGATTACCTGCATCCACATAGTTGAAGCAGTCATACCTGCACCTCAGCTCTACTCCAGCCCCTAGGAGAGCAAAAGAGAAGGGACAGGGCACGGAGGCTAGCCAGGTGGCCACTGGCCCCACTCAAACTCTGAAGTATGTGTCGATGGGTGATAGGAGGAGGGGAGGTTGGTCTGTTCGCACTGTGACAGTGAGGTGAACTGAATCAAATGACAGCCTTGGGTAGAGTGTGAGAGACTGCTATCACGTATTAAAACAGGAAAACATTACCCACGTAAGCCACAGAAATTTGCTATTAATGCGATGCCAGAAATTGCAGTAGGTGGAAGGTGGTCTGTGTGTGGGCCTATCATCCTGGTTGATTTTATCAGATGGTATTTATTCTCTTTCTTCTCACTGAAATGCCAGTTCCCTGGCACAGTCCCATATTCTGGAACCATGTTGCTTCTGAATCCTGGTTTAGATCTTCTATCTTACTAGAAGTGACTTTGTACAGGAATTAAATATGATTTCTAGCAATCCAGAACAGAGTATGGGGAGCGCTGTTAATCTTGAATGAAGAAAGACCCTGGGAAAGGGAAGTTTGGCCTCAGTACGTCTGTGTGTAAATGGGTAGTCTCTGCTGCCATGGGCTTTGGGTCTTCATTCTCACAATAAATCACTTTTCAAATGATCTCATGAGTTTGTTTTCAAAGACAATAAAACAGAGGAAATTTAGAACATCTGTCATTAAGAAAAGTTAATATGATAGCTGTGGGGTTAGTCTAGGAGGGCTTCCGCTAATACATTGATCCCCTGTGCTGCAGCACAGGTCCTATCAAAATGATTGACAGGACTTGCAAGGAAAGGACAAGGTCATTCATTCTTGTGAAGAAGAATAGCTGAAACTCCATATTTAGCAGGAAGGGTAAAAATTGTAGGAACAGTGAAGTGGAAGACTTACATAAAGAGCAGGTCTGTGTTGTGGCTCATGTGCTTCATGTTAATGGATTTCAGATGACAGTGGACCCGGAAACTAACAATGACTTCCATTTTCCCTGTGAAATTATAATTTCAGAGGTGTGTTGAGGTGTTGGGTAGGTTCCTGGTACAGGGTCTGATACTTCGCTTCAAGGTGGCCCAGTGACCCATGGCTGCCTTGATGCCATTTGCTTCTCTCCTTCCTCAATGGACAGGCATGTCATGGGATTGTGGAAGTGGGGGAACTGAGAAAGGATAGTTGCAGGCCATTCAGACCAGAATTTTAGGTTCTGCAACATAGCTCCACACCTTCATGTTTATGGTCAGTTCTATTTCTTCAGGAAGATGTCAGGTAAGAGGCAAGAGGGCAGGGGATCCCCAAATATGCTTTCAGTGTTTCTAAAGGCTGGAAAGGTTCTGTGGGAGTTCTGGTCTGGGATCATTCTTTTTGTTTTGTTGTTTTTGAGATAGGGTCTCACTGTGTAGCACAAGCAGCCTTGAACTCACTTATATAGTCCAGGCTGGCCTGAAACTCATGGCAATCCTCCTACCTCAGCTTCCCAAGTGCTGGAATTACAGGCATATACCAGTGTGCCGAGCATGCATACTTGTCTTAGAATAGTGACTGATAGTTTTTGTTCTGTTTTTTCCTATTTATTTATTTATTTATATTTATTTTTCTGGTATCAGGAATTGAACTCATGACCTCATGCTTGCCAGGCAGGCACTGTGCTGCTGAGTCACCCTTTTAAAAAAATTATTATGATTATGATTATTATTTGGCACTGGGGATCAAACTCAGGACCTTGTGCTTGGTAGGCATGCACTTGTGCCGCTGAGCTATATCCCCAGCCCTAATTTATTTTAAAGAGAATTAAAAAAAAAAAAACTATACAGAATTACAAAATAAGATAATACCTTTTTATTTTAAAAAAATTTATTAGTACATGTTTGCAGTACATAATGATTACACTCATCATGGGGAGTTTTTTTAATCACGGGGAGTTTGGTAAATGTATATAACACAACTTAGTCCTTTTTATGTCTCTTTTTTTTACTCATTGATTATGATCCATTAAATGAATAACCCTAGGTTGGGTTGAAACTCAAGAGGAAATGCTTCTGGTTCTCAGAAGAGTCTATGGCCCTACAAAAGATAAGGGTATCTGTCCTTTCTTTTAATAATAAACTTGTCTCCTTGAAATGGTGAGAATAGGAGATTTTAGAAAATTTTTTAGAAACTTTTATAATTAATATCCATACATAGAAAAAAATCCATACATAGATGACAGTTGACTCCTTCCCCACCAGCATTGCATTTTGGGTAATTGAGTGCTGTTACGTAGCAGAATTATTGTGACTGTTAATCTGTTTATTTTTGTTTGAGACAGGGTCGTACCTCGTAGCTTAGGCTGGCCTTGGGGTCTCACTTTGTAGCTCAGGGAAACCTTCCTGCCTCAGCCTCCAGAGTGCTAGCATTGCAGGTGTGTGCCACCATGACTAGCTTGTGACTATTTATTAAGGTTATTTTTAATAGGCTACATTTGTTCTCTTTTTTTTTTTTTTTTTTTTTTGGTTTTGGTTTTTCTCCGGTACCGGGAACTGAACTCACAACCTTGTGCTTGCCAGGCAGGTGCTTTGCTGCTGAGCTAATAAATCCCCAGCCCCAATAGGCTACATTTGAAGAGCACTTTATCACCAACCAAGTACTTCATTCAAATTAATTAATTTACGTTTTATAAAACTTAGTGTTGGTGGCTGACAGATGACTAGCCCAGTTTTTAGAGGAGGAAGTAGGAATGAGATTAGATGTGAGTTGTTTCAGCTACCCTGCTGATCTGCAGCTGAGACCAGTCCCACTCACTGTTTATGTCTACTCCTGGGAGCTCCTGGGAAGTTGGGGGATTTACATTCGGTCCTGCGTGGCCAGTGGTGGTGTGTGGTCACATAATACAGGTGGGCGCTACTTTCCTTGGAAGAATATTTGGGAATTGAGAAGCCCTACAGTGGCATCAGTATCCCAAAGCCCTTTCTCTGTTCATCCTCCCCACAGAAGCAGAGAGCATCCTGACCTGCAATTATGGTGCCAGCCTTGGAAACAGCACTCGGGGGAAGGGAGAGCTCATTCCAAACACATCCATGTCCTGGATGCCAGGAGCAAGGAAGAAGCCCCCAGCTATAGAACTTTGAATGGGGCAGTGGAGAAACCCCTGCCCCTGCCCCAGTCTGCAGAGGAGTCCTACATCACCAGTGAGCACTGCTACCAGAAGCCCCGGGCCTACTACCCTGCCGTGGAACAGAAGTTGGTGGTAGAGACGCGTGGCTCTGCCCTTGATGATGCAGTCAACTCACTCCGTGAGAATGATGACTCCCTCTCCCCTCGCCTGGGCTGGCCTCTGGACCAAGACAGGAGCAGAGAGGACAGCGACCCTAAACCCAGTCCCCCAAAGGTATGTGACTTGCCTGTACTGGTTCTGTGTTGGTGTTTGAGTACTTATAAATTCCCTGCCTGTGGTTAAATGATCTGTGGAAGATATTTCTTAGTAGAACTGTGTTTAAATTTGCTTATCATAGGTGTTTTTGGTCTGTTAAAATGAAACGCAGTCAGGAGAGCCCACCTGAGCCAAAGAGCGTTGGTTCCAGGAAACCCCGTGAAACGGCATAGTTCTTGGGGATAAGGAGTAGAAAGGTGGGGAGTAACAAGGGGACAGGATTGGGGCTGGGGATTTAGCTCAGTGGCAAAGCGCCTGCCTGGCAAGCCCAACGTCGTGAGTTCAATTCCTGGTACCGGAAGAAAACAAAAAAAAAAAAAAAAGGGGACAGGATTGACTGAAACTTAAAAAAATGAAACTAAGTTAAGAAAATCTACCTTTTCTTTAATACCAGTTACATTATGTTTGTACCTAGGTGCTAATTATTGCCATAATCAATGAGTTAAGTGTTTTATAATGCATAATATTTTCAATAAAATTGCATGATATTTTGACTTTCAATTTTGTAGCCCCGTCATAAAAAGGGTCCATTTCATCGAAGTATTTGCTTCCCTCAATAGTTTGCCAAAGAGCTACTCTCGGTTGTTTGTTAGTAATTTTCTTCTGGAACCTCCTATGTCGTATTATAATTGCCAGTGCTTATTAGTTTCCTTGTGCTTCTTCCTGGTTTTTAGTGAGGCTTGTGTGACTTCAGAGCTTCTCTGCTCTTGATGTGCTTTCAGAGACTTGATTCTGTGGGTTGGCATCATCAGCATTAAAAACCTGTGCCCTCACTGGTGTCTAAACAGTGTTGGGCAAGGGTGGTAAGCACAGTCTAGTGAGACAGCTGTCATTCTAAGTCCTGGCGCAGCCACTTTGTGATCGGAGTGGGTTGCTTCCCCTCCCTGATAAGCCTCATTTTCTCACCTGTAGAATGAAGCCGGTAACAGTGCCCTTCAGTTTTTGTGGAATGTGGTTGTGAAAAGCTCTCAGCACATTTCTTTGTACATGCTAACCTCTAAATTAATCTTGGCTGAAATGTATTTTATTTCAAATGAAAAAATGAAGCACACCTCTTTTTCCAGCACTCAGCACTATGGTAGGAGCATCACAAATTTATGCCCAGCCTGAGCAGTTTAGTGGCTTAGCAAGACCCTGTCCCAAAGTAAAAAAGGGCTGGGGATGTAGTTCAATGTAAAGGCCCTATGTTTAATCCCTAGTACTACAAACAAACTAATATATCAATTCTCCCAAACTCCAGAAAAGGTTTACAGTCCTGTGGTCTAGGCAGGTTTTTTAAAGGTATCTGGCATGTAGTACAAAATCAGAAAATACTGAAGTAGGGCAACCAGCGTAGTATTTTTTCCGTGATGGTGAGCTGACTCTACTGGCACTGTGTCTGTTTTATACACCTTACCCCATTTCACTCTCATGAACCTTCATTGTAGGTTTTACTACTTTCATCTTCCCAGAGAAAGAACAGAGGCTCAGAGATAGGAAGCTCACAGAGCCACATATTGAGCAAGAGACGGAGCCAGCACTCTCCAAACTCATGTGACAGCTGTGTTAAATCATATCCACACTAACTTTGCTAGTCAGTTCTCAGAGATGTGGGTGCATAGGGCATTGGGCCAGCCATGCAGAACCATCTGTGGGGTCCCTGCTGGTCTGAGGCGGTGACATGGTGCAGTGGGAAGTTTCCACCCAATCCCCAAATGGGAAGGGTCAAAGAGAGATGAGGATTTGGAGTATTCAGACAACAGCTGGCTTTTCAGAGGGTTGCAGACACTGAATGCTTGAAACGGGTTGGAAGCTCTCTCCATGAAGTAACTTAAATGTCATTATATCCCCAGGTGAGGGACTATGTCTCCAAAAAGGTCCTACCAGAGGAAGCCCCTGCTCGGAAGCTGCTGGACAGAGGTGGAGAGGGGTTGGTGAGCTCCCAGCATCAGTGGCAGTTTAACTTGCTGACACACGTGGAGTCTCTTCAGGATGAAGTCACACACAGGATGGACTCCATTGAGAAGGAACTGGACGGTAGGGCTCCTTCCTTAGTCCGCTGGCCATTGGCATATGCTCTGTGATCCCTTCTGCCTCAGGAGCTGCTTTCTGCTGTTTTTGAAAATGAGGTCTCTGTTGCCTAGGCTGATTTTAAATTTGTGGGCTCAAGTGATCCTCTTATCCCAGCTTACTGAATAGCTAGGATCATAGGTGTGTGCCACCATACCTGGCTTTTGATGATTTCTGACATATCTCTCCCCCTCCCCAGTTTGGCTATCCAGGGACAGCTGTATTCTAGCCTCTAGCTTCTAGCCTCACCCACCTCAATTCTCTGGTCAAGGAGGACAAGTTTATTTTTATTATTTATTAGGCACATAGAAAGTCTGATGTTATCAGGGATTCAGCCCCTTCTTTAAAGCTGAGTATGCAGGGCTAGGGGTGAAGCCCACTGGTAGAACATGTGCTCAGCATGCAGAAAGCCCTAAGTTGAATTCCAAGAACTACAACAACAAAACAAAATAGTACACACACACAAGAACAGCTGGACCCTGTTTGCAGGAAACATATAATCTGAGTAAATCTTCACCAACAAGCTAGGTGTGGTGGTGCATGCCGGTAATCCCAGCACTTGGGAAGCTGAGGCAGGAGGATCATTGCACGTTCGAGGCTGGCCTGGGCTACACAGTGAGTTGAAGGCCAGCCTGAACTGCACAGTGAGACCCTGTCTAAAAAGGACCAAAAAAAAAAAAAAAAAATCCTTACTAACAAATTTCTTTGGGCTGGCCTTGAACTTACTTTGTAGTCCAGGATGGCCTCAAACATTCAGTGGTCCTTTTTTGCCTCCTGAGTGCTGGGATTACAGGCATGTACCACTGTACTTGGTTTTTTGTATACTTATTTTCTGATTTATTTTCAATTTAAAGATAGAGCCCAGTTTATAAATAAGTATTCTGTTTGAGGATTCTGGGTACAGTCAGGCTATGATGACTATAACTGAGGATATAAAACATGTGAAGCTGGGCATGGTGGCACACACGTGTAATCCCAGCACTTGGGAGGTTGAGAACTAAGAGAAAAATGCCATGTTACACAAGCCAGGGTCATGGGGTGTGACCAGGACACCTGTGTGGCTGAGGTTATACCAGGCAAGGAGAGTACTGGCAGGAAGCCTTCCTGGAACTCCTGGGACTGATGCCAGGCCTTGAAAGAAGGGATGATATTTTTTGCTGGAAAGGAAGAGAGGATAGAGGATCAGTGGCTAAAGAGGGTTCCCTAGTGGAGGATAGAGGGTAGAGGAAAAGACAGTCTCTGTGTCTTTGTGCTTATGTCTTGCCCCTGAGGCAGGCCTGCATCATCTCTGGAAAGGTGTTTCTGCCTCCATTTTACTCCTAAAATGTTCCTTTGGGCTCCTTGATGCCACTGTCTGAAAAACATGATGGTGTAGATTTTGAGAAAATAATAGAATTGGCTCTGGGTCCCTGAGAGGAGCCTAACACCATGGAAATAGGGTGAATATTTTGTTGTTGCCAAAGAATCTATCCTTAGGGGTGAAGCCAGACCCTGGGCAAATCTTACCTCCCTCTCCCCCTGGGCTCCTTCTAGCCTCCATGGTCTGGCGATTGGCATCCCACATATTCTTATGTGTTCTCATGCTCCAAGCCCTGAGAAGTAGCAAGGAAGGATGAAAATCAGTGAAATCTTTAAAAACTTAAATATTTTATTTAGGCGAACAGACTTGTACACTATTTTTAGATTTATCAGAATCCCTTTTAGGGAGTTAAATCTTCAGTTCATTTAAGCTCTTCAAGGGGGCTGGGAATATAGCTCAGTGGCACAGCCCCTGCCTGGCAAGTGCAAGGTCCTGAGTTTGATTCCGTGTGCCCCACTCCTGCCACAAAAAAAACCCCCAAATTTCAGTTCAGTAGGAGACAGGTATTAATGAAATCATCCCATTACTGATAATTAGAGCCCATAATCCCAGCACTTAGGAGGCTAAAGCAGGATCACTGGGAGTTCAAGGCCCACCTGAAGTACATAGCAAGACTCAGTCTCACAAAACAAAACAGGACAAAACAAAAAATTAGAAACCATTGAAAGTGCTCAGAGGAGTGTGTGGTACCATAACACGAGTAACACAGGGTCCAGATTCATGGTGTAGGGTTTGGGAAGACATCCTCCAAGCATAATGTGGACGGAACAAAGGACATAGAGGGTGGAGAGGAAGGTAGGGTTAATGTGGAGCATTGGGGATTGGATGGCAGGTAGCAGGCTGCTTGAAGAATGGGTACTGGGAAGGTCTTTCCATTGCTGAACCTCAGCATCCCAAAGATGCTCAGTACTGGTTGGTGTGTGGACTAGAAAGGCTACAGGCGGGCTGGACTAAGCACAGGGCCGCTGAAGGGGCTGGCTCTTGTCAAAGGTACAAGGTGCCTAGGTGGTGTCTCCACAAATGCCAGAGCCTCAGGCATTACGTTGGAGGAGGACAGCTTTTTATAGAGAAACTTAAGTGCTTATAAGCAAGACTACTTTCCAGATAGTGAACCAGTTATAATCAAGTATCTTCGTACTCATACACCTTATATTAAATACTTAAAGGTATGGGTTGGGAATTTAGCTCAGTTGTGGAGTGCTTGCTAGCAATCCTGATCCCCTGGGTTCTCAGTTAACTCCCCCCCCAATAAATTAGAGAAAATAAAAATTATATATCAATCAGGAATCAATATGAAGCAAACCAAAAGTAATAGTAAAATAGACCCTGTTAAGTCCCTGTAGATTTTCGTTTTTCTTGCTAGGTGTGGTGTGCACACTTGTAATCTCAGCACTCAGGAGGAGGCTGAGGCAGGAGAATTCCAAGTTCAAGGCCAGCCTGGAATACATAGCAAGACCCTGTCTCAAAACAAAACAAAACAAAAAAACGATTTTCATTTGTTTTGTTTTGTTTTTTTCCAGTACCGGGAATTGAACTCATGACCTGGGTGGTTAGGTGGGAGAAGGAGCTGAAACTGTTGCTGAGGTCGTTGCAAGTCAAATGTGAGCTCACTGGGTCTTTCTTTCTGCCAACAGTGCTGGAGAGCTGGCTGGACTATACTGGGGAGCTGGAGCCCCCGGAGCCACTGGCTAGGCTTCCACAGCTCAAGCATTGCATCAAGCAGCTGCTGATGGACCTTGGCAAGGTGCAGCAGATTGCTCTCTGCTGCTCCACATGAAACTGGGCACCCAGGACTAATGGGGGTACAATCCTGGGGCACCTGAGGAGGAGCTTCTCATATTTAAATAAACCTAGCATGCTGAATGCACGTGACACCGACTGACTTCAGGGATCTGGCCAGGAGTGTGATGAACATTGGACAAAGAGGCCATTTTGGCTGCTGGATGGCAGGGCACTCTCATCTGGAATCCTACCAAGAAGGTAGCAGATAGACTCTTGGGATTCCCTTCTTCTGTGCACATCACTGAATGAAGAGAGTCTTTTTGCACAAACTTCACTTGAAATTGTGCCACTGATGATGACAAATGGAATGAGAGCCAAAAAAGTTTAGTTGGAAACAGTTGTAAATTCAATCTTCAGTTTATTTAATTGACTTTGCTGTCAGGTTGGAGGCACATGCCAACCTTTCTTGTTTTGCCTGGCATGGAGTTTAGGCAGCAGGTGCCCTTTTCATTTTCCAGCTTCATGGGAATATTGGGACTTCACCATGCTGTGGAGGTTGGGAAGGAGCAGAGGCCTCAACTGTCCTGCCTTTCCCTTAGGATGCTTCACTTTTCTCACATCTCTTGCATGACTTCATGGTACCAGGAACAAGTTCTGTATGCTTTTCACACAAAGTTGACTGGGTTGTGACTTTTGTCACAGAGTCCATACAGCCAGTGGAAGAACTAGAATTGTACTGTAATAAGAATCTAGGAGGGATTCCAAATGGAAGTAGGCAGGGTCTGGAACCCAAAGGACAGCATTTTCTACTCAATTCTTAATGTTGACAGCTTCCCAGTTCTATTTAAAGTCCAAAAAATGTTTCCCAAAATTTTGAACTCTTTCACTGTAAAGATTTACTGCAAAGAATGTGGTTTGGGGAATTACTTTATATTGTCAACAAACTTCAGATTCTTTCTGTGCCGCTTTTCTCCTTCCCTGAAGGGTATGTCCACTAGTTGACATTTTCAGAATTGTTAATATACTTTAACACGTTGAAGTTCCTGTCTGCATTACTTTGTGAGATCAAGGTGATTATGCTGCTTAAGGTCCAGGTACAACCTGTTTGTACCTTTTGAGACATTTGTGTTATTTTTGCAGGTTATGGTTCCATGTATAATTGCTACATTTTATTTTGTGTTTCCTTATTATACAGATTTACAGAAAATGTCCCTTGCTTTGAAAAGTGACCATCTCACATTTTGTTATCACTAAAGGCAAAAGTCAAAGCATAGTTGTCTCTTTAACATGAGTTAATAATGGGTTTATGAATCTGTAATGTTATATGCTGCAAATATTTACTATATAAACATAAAGTAGCTGATATTTCTCTAGCAATGACAGTATCTCCAGAGACCTTTAAAATGGTTAGGCTTTCAGGCACAGGTCATTGTGGTCATGAATTCAGGCCTCTGTACTAAGATGTTTCAGGGAATCCTGTCTAGTGATTTGTTCCATTTGATATAAAATGAATTATAGGATAAGTTAATCTTTGCAGCTTATCCATCAGAGGGAATATATGCAGCTGTAACATTTAATAATGATGCTGACCCAATTCCTTTACAAGAGGCTGTTTGCCATTGCTAACACTGGTATAGGAAGAAATACTCTTGGTGTTTCTGGTATAGGAAGAAATATTCAAGGAGTATGTATGGCATCTATCTATGCTCTAGATAATTTATGACAGATACATAAGGAATGTGGGATGTTTTTCTGAACAGGGAAAAACAGGATGATTTTCTATATCCACAAGTGTGAGGTATGATGACTGTTGTATTGTTTTCTTTTCTGCAATTACATCTGAGTATCACATCTGGGGAAGCTGTAAGTAGTCAATTTTGTATCTTCAAGAGGAAAGCAGAAACTGAATTAGCTTAATTTTGCCAAGTGGTTCTTACTGGGTTCATCACTTAGGTTTTGTAAAGGAAATAATCCTGTTTGACTCATTGTGACTTTTGTTCTTAAAGAAGCAGGGAGACTCCCCAAGTTCTGATAACCTCAGTGTGTTTCCCTAATTTAAAGCCATGTTGAGGGGCTCCATTCCCAATTTCTGGGTCAAGATGAATTAACCCCAAGTTGGAGCACTGGAAACTGTTATTTGCGAACATTGCTGATACATTTAGAAATATGTGCACTACCTAAGTTTTTTGTCTTTTGAGAAAAACTATCCACCTATAAAAAACTGCCTTGACAAAAAGTTCTGGTTTGACTAATCATTTTGCTGCTTTAAAGTAAGTGATGAGTATGCAGGGTGGATCCTTGATGAGCCAACATTGCACTGTGGATACATATCTATGTTTATGTGCTATTAGAACAGAAGGTGCTGTGTAGAGAAATGTTGCTTTGAAGCAATATTTGCAAAATATACAAACTTCTATATCTGTATTTGTCACATATTACTGAATTATAACATTCTTCACCCTATTTTTGAAAAAGTTTTTTGCAACAGTCTTATTGTATAGCAGGGGCTAGTCTCAAACTAGAGATTTTCCTGTCTCAGCTTCCCAGGGGATAACACTGCAGGAATGACCAAGCCTATTTACCTATTTTTAATATGTACTAAATCTTCTGTAACCATTTCTTTAAAAAAAAAAACAAAAAAAAAAAACAATATGAACCGAGTCTTTACACTGAACTGCATTCCCAACCCCTTTTTAAATTTTTAATTAAGATGGCTAAGTTGTTCAGACTGATCTTGAACTTCTATCCTCCTGCCTCAGCCTCTCAGAGTGCTGGAATTACAGGCATGCACCACCACACCTTGTTACCATTTTAAAGAATGCCTGCTTTTACCTTTCAGATACTTTTTGCAGGGAGTCAGATGCAACTTCTGGCAAGAAATCCCAAGAAAATACACAAAATGCTTCACAGCAGCTTCTAGCCCTGTCTTGCTCATGCTTAGTAGTGAGAACTCCTGCTTAGATTTTTAGCGATGGAAACAATGCAAGACAGGTCTGGCCTTCTCCTTCCTTAAATTAAAATATGGTAGCCATTGCACCAAGATTCTCCTCTGATCAATCCAAGCTGCCGATGTACCCTAAGTACCTCCTCGATGGATGGGAAGCCGCAAGGAAGAATAGCCTTTAAGATTTCATAGGTAGTCCTCATTACTTGCAGAATTCCTTCTTCCCTTTCTAGCAGTTAGGCTGATTTAAATGAATAAATAAATGGGGGGAGCCAACTGGAGACATTAAAACGAGTAGCTCATCACTTACTTTAATGAATAATTTACATTATTCATTAGCTGACATCGTTTAACTCCTACCGGAAGTCTAAACTTTGACAAAGAGGAAGGTGGGCAAGTCTAGAGCCATGGATTAAGAGTCCACAAACGAGACGTACTATCTGTAAGAGCAAGCAGTAAAACACATTAAAATAGCCGAATAACTTGGGTCTTTTGGAAAGCCTGCACCCGAAGGGCAGATGAAGCAACTTGGCGGTACAATCCTTAAGCCAGAGTTCGCCTGCAGGATCCCACAACCATGACGTATTGCCGTTTTTCTACCTGAAAAGACAGATGACGAGTTCAGACCGTAGCTAGTAAAAGATACAGGAACTCAACACTACTGGACTAGAATCTTCATGACATAGCTTTCCACTAATCTAAGGAAATCCAAGTGGGTCCTTGGCAGCACCGGAAAAAACCTTCACAGCTGTGCTAACGGGACGGCCCAAGTCTAGCCCACATTTAAGGGTCCCATAATACTCAAGGAAGGCCCGGGAAATGGGAAAGCAGACAAAAGTCTTATTCTCATGGGCTCCCAACTTCCTTTCCTCACCAGGCAGAACGGAGAGGAGAAATAAGGTCGGTAAAATAAACCCGAGAAAGAAAAGACACTAGACCACAGCAGCTGTCAAAACTCTTTCATTAACACCGGGTGGTGTGCCAGGCTCCGGCCCCAACCCATCATGGCCCCAGTCCAAAGAACGCTCGGCTCAGCGCCACCGCTCAGCCGGTGATGCGCACGTCCGCGCGGCGCTGGAGCCGCCGGGCCCGCGTCTCCTCGGGCAGGATGGCCAGTAGCTGCTCCTGTACCAGCATCTCCACCATCTGCTCCTTAGTGCGGATGTCTGGCCGCAGCCACTGGCGGGAGAGCTCCCGCAGCTGGCGGAACGCTTCTCGGGGGCCGGCCGCGTCCTGGTAGCGGAACTGTCGGAAACGTTGGCGGAACGTCTCGGGGCCTGGCCGCGAGCCGCCGGGGCCCGCAGGGGTGCGCGAGGCGGCTGAGGCCTGAGGGGGAGAACCCAGGGGTGCGGGGCTGAGGGGCGGGAGCTCCAACACCGCGGAAGCCGCCGCGGAGGGCGTAATATTCGCTTCGGGGATCTCGGCGTTGGGGTTGCAGGGCTCGGGGGCAGGCGGGGAGGCCTCTGAGGTCGAGGGATCTGCAGAGTTAGGCTCAGGGTCTGAGTTCAGACCGGCTCCGTCCTGCTGCTCCGGCGGTACAGCCGCAGGGATCCCGGCGGTCGCCAAGCTCGGTTCCGTCGCCGCCATGACTCAAGCTCCGGGCGTCACTCTTTGTCTGGCAACTAAGGGCTCACTAGTGCGTCTGCGCGGGAGTGGGGCAAAGAGAAGATCGTTTCCCACTAAAGGACAGAGCCAATGCAACCCGTGCGGGAGGCGACCCGGGACCGACCGAGGGCGCGCCGAGCTTACCTACACCCACGGAGCACCCACGACAACCGGAAGTGGGCGTCTCCTCTAGCTTCTCTATGATCAGGTCGGCGCACAACCTCCCGGAAGCTGAGCCTCGGGTCCCGGAAGCGGCGCCTCCTAGCGGTCGCCAGTGGCGTCTGGCGGTGACAGCGGCCGTAGGGCGGCCGGCGGGTCTCCGCATCCGGCGGGACTTTCTCAAGGATGGCGCCTCTGAGCTCGGTGAGGAGGCGGGGTCGGAGTCTGAGGCGGAGTCCTGGGCGGAGCCTGAGCCTGAGTTGGAGCCGCAGCAGGCAAGGGCATTGAAGGAGCAGCCTGAGCTTGACCAGGTAGATTTCAAGTCCGGGGACCTCAGCCTAACACGTCTTGGCCAGTGGCTGGCGCATGTCCTTGCGGGGATGCGCTCTTACTTGATCTTTCCACCTCTTCGGTAAATGCGGAGGATGATGGTTATCCAGGGACTCTTTGGGGCTGGCCGGTGCCTTGCTTGGGACGGCGGCCGGGAGCTGGAGGGAACCCGGTTTAAGAAAGCTCTCTTAGCTGGCCGTGGTGGCCCACACCTGTAATTTCAGCACTCTGGAGGCTGAGGCAAGAGGATCGTCGTGAGTTTCAGGCAAGCCTGAACCACATAGCGAGACCCTCTCTCAAAACAAAAAAAGGTGTTTTTGCTTGGTCAAACGTTGAAGAGAGTGGCCTCATCTATTTCGAGAACAACAAAATACGTGTGTTAAGATCCTTAACACATTGCCTAACGCAAAGTAAATGCTCAGGGCTCTTTGCCATGATTATTATTATTATTTTCACTTTTTAAAAAATTTATTTTAAAAATAAAAGAAGGAAAGCATATTAACAAATAGACATTCATTTACAAAATAGCGTAAGAACAATACAAACAATACAGAGTTACAGACAAAGTGGTAGGAAATTAACAATGGTTGTTATATTACGTATTGGTATCTTCAAAGTGGTTTCTCAAGAAAACAGAGACATGCAAGATTGATCAAATAAGTAATCATTAACTGTTCCTTTCAGTAAAGCGATAGAAGTCAGTAGTACAACTATGTTAGCTATCCTGTATATACATACATACATAATTTCCCCTTCTTTTCTCTTTTCCCTCATCCCAGTTGCTCTTTACTTGTGAGCATTTTCCTTTCGTTTCACAATGTCTATCATACCTCCTAATTTTTATTCACTCTTTCAGGTTCTTACACTAGTGAGACAATACTTTGCTTACACATGGAGGTCTGTTTTAAAAAATCGTGGTACTTTTATATAATTGAATATTACTCAGCTATAAAGAAAGATAAACTCGAGCTTTTACAGGTAAATGGTCACAACTGGAGACCATACTTATAAGTGAAATGCCATTATTTTTTGAGTGTCCTCTGAAGCCAAGGGACAAGCAGCTCTTTGGGTTCTTTAGTTCGGATTAATAAATGGACTATAAATGCCATGTCCCTTGAAATGTAGCTTGTCCAAATTGTGAAATGTACTGTAATAAAAAATACACATAGGTCTTAGTGCGAGAGGAATAGTGTAAACTAGCTCAACTCTTTTTTATTGATTTACATTAGAGTATAATATTTTATATGTACAGTACTGAGGCAAATACATTTATTTTAATTTCACATGTCATTTTAAATGCAGTTATTAGGAATTTTTTTTTTTTTTTTCTTGAGACAAGGTCTTGCTGTGTAGTTCAGGCTGGCCTTGAGCCATGTAGCCAAGATGACAGTCCTGCTCCTGCCTCAACCTCCCTAGTGCTGGGATCACAGGCTTGCACCACCACACTTGGGTGGCTCGTAGGAAAATTTAAATTGCATATGTGGCTTATATTTTTGTTAAATAGTTCTGGGCTACAGTGTTGGAGTCAGGTAGCCTTAGTGGAATCCCCTTTGCAGGATGTCTTTGCCTTACTGTCCCAGGTGATAATAGTACCTACCTCAGAGTTGTTAGGAGATTAAACAATGCTCTTAGTAAGAAGAGGCTTTTAAAATGTTTGCTGACACCAAGCAAAGTGGCCCACTCATTATCCCAGTGCTCAGGAGGCTGAGGCAGGAGGATCTGACGGGAGTTGGAGGCCAGTCTGAACTACATAGTGAGACTCTGTCCCCCCAAAAAAGTTTGCTGTGTTTTTATCAGGTAAATTGCTTACCATCTCCAAGCTGCAGTTTTATCCGTTAATTAGAAATCTGGATATAATAGAATTTACCTCATAGAGGTTACTCTGAGAATTTGGAGAGATGATGCAGGTAAAAGTGTATAGCTCTGACAGCCCTCTGGTAAATGGTATTATATTCTATTTTAATATAACAGACACACAGATAGTTTTTGTTTCTCATTTCAGAAATGATTGCATCTCATTTCAGAAATTTTGTGTCCCATTTTGTGTCAGAAATTGAGGCCCAGAGAGACAGAGGCCCCGAAGGAAAGGTTTTGTGTAACTCCTGGAGTTCCTTTGAGCTTTGTCCAGGCATAGTTGATAACCATCAACACACCAGTGGCCTTGATTTAAAAAACAAACAACAACAACTTCCCCTCCTGTAGGATGTCTGCCTCAAATGGATAGATGCAGATCCTCATGAAACAGTTTCTAAAATGTTGAAAGTCATCAGAGTGGGACGTTAATGTGGAGATTTTGCATGAAATCTTTTTTTTATTTTTAAGTGGAAGAACTGACCACACTCTGAACTCACATTGCTGCTAGCCAGTAGTTAGTTGAAGCTGAGGCTTCTTCCTTTAGACAAGATACTCTGTCCCACTTGCCCTCTGCTCCACCCTTCTATTGTCCTCTGAAACAGAACACTGTGTTTACTTTTGCTCTCAAGTTGTTTTCCTTAGAGGTGATAGTTTCGTTTTCTTTTCAGACACGGGTGTGTGTGTGTGTGTTTCCTAGTATATTATACTGCTGGGTTCAAACCCTCTGCCAGGCCTCTTGACAACTGCGTGAACCAGTAGTCGCATTCCCCTTGTAGTAGCAGACAGTCAGTGTCCAGCCACCAAGGCAACACCCCAAACTCTATTGCAAGGATGAGGTGTTGTAAACCACTTCACCAGGAAGGGCACCATTAAACTGAGATTCTGGAAGCAAATTCAGGGATATACCTCAAAATCTTTAGTAAAAGGCATTGCCTGTGCAAAGGCATATAAGAAGTGGGAAGAAAATTTTGGGCAAACTACAGGCTAGAGGGGGAGTGGCTGGGATCTGCAGAAGAGTTGAGAGATGAGATTGGAAGGCTGGTGGGAGAGTAAGTCATAAAGATCACAGGGGTCCGTGTTTAAAAGTTGGACCTTGGGGGCCAGGGACATAGCTCAGCAGCACAAATACCTGCCTGGCAAACGCAAGGTCCTGAGCTCAGTTCCTGGTATAAAAAAAAAACAAAAAACAAAAAACAGTTGGTCCTTGGCTTCTTGGGAAAAGAAATGGAGTCTTAGAGTACTTTCAACCATGGAATGTTGGATCTCTGGTCCATTTCTTCCAGCCTTATTGGAATAATAGAATATAGGGATTGGCCGGGCGTGGGGGCGCACGTCTGTAATCCCAGCACTTGGGAGGCTGAGGCAGGAGAATCGTGAGTTCGAGGCCAGCCTGAGCTACAAAGTGAGCTCAAGGTCGGCCTGAACTGCATTGGGAGACCCTGTCTCAAAAAGACAAAAAAAAAAAAAAAATAGAATATAGGGATGAAAGGAAGAATCTCAGAGCTGTCTTGAAACTATGGCATGTCAGAATGGAAGGGTCATTCAAAATGGAAAGAAAATCTATTCAGTTCTAAACACTTTATGGGTTTGCAAGCTCTCAGAATCTGAAAAGAAATTAGAATATTTCTTCCTAGAAGAGAAATGCAGTAGTTTGGTGTACAATTTCAGATGATTTATGTATATCCTTGAATCTAAGAGCCCCATATTAAGTTTTAAATATACATATGTATTTAACTCTTCTGAATTTTGCAGATTAAGAAGTCAGCATGCCAAAAGTTGAAGAATTGGTCCAACATCAAAACTATAGTAAGTGTTTTCATGAGGGCAGAAATCTTTGAACATTTATTCTAATGCTTTCATCATATTAGACTTTTTATTATCATTAGAGTTAGATCAGTTTGAGAAGGGATCCGAAATCATTCATCTTGTATCATTTAGCTTCCAGCACAAGGTCTGTCTTCCAGTGAACCCTAAGTAGCAACTAAAGGAAAAAGGACAAGCATGGCTTATAGACCATCTCTGTCAAGGGAGACCTCTAACATGATTCTCACACTCCTTCAAAAGTTTTAGTGTCTTTGATGGTACACTTTTGCTGGAAGCTGTGGAAAAGAACCCTGGATACTTTAAAAAACTTTCTATTTGAAAATAGTTATATATTCACAGAAAGTCTCAAAAGTAGTACAGAGCATTCTCTCCTACTCTTCACCTAGTTTTCCCCATAGTAACATCTTGCATAACTATAGTACTATATGGAAGGTGGGAAACACATAAGTATAATCCATAGACCTTATTCTTATGATTTCCCAGGCTAGTGTGCTTTGTGTATTTATTTATTTAGTGGTACTGGGGATCAGACTTACTGATGCTCTGCCACTAAGCTACATTTTGAGCCTCTTTTAATTGTTTAAAAATTTTGTAACAGAGGCCAGGCATGGTGGTGCACCCCTGTAATCCTAGCACTTGCAAGACTGAAGCAGGAGGAACACCAGAAGTTCGAGGCCAGCCTAGGCTACATAGTGAGTTCAAGGCTAGCCTGAACGATGTAGTGAGACTGTCTCAAAAAAGAAAGAAAAAAAACTGTGACAGGGTCTTGCTAAGTTGTCCAAGTGGTGCTTGAACTTTTGAGCTTCAGTGTCAGCCTCCCAAAATGGTGGGATTCTAGGCATGTGCCACTGTATCAGCTCATTTTCCAGTTTTACATGTACTTGTTTGTATGTATATATATGTATAGGTCTGTGCAGTTTTATCACATGTAGATTCATACAGCTATTGCCACAGCTAGTATATGGAACTGTTTGATCACCATACAGCATTGACATCTCTTTATAGTTGCACCCATTTTTCTTTCCACCCTCTACTCTTAACCACAGACAACCCCTAGTGTTTTCTATCCGTATAATTTTGTCATTGAAAAATATTATATAAGGCTGAGCATGATGGTGTACACCTGCAAACCCAGCACTTAGAAGGCTGAGGCAGGAGGATCACCATGAGTTGGAGGCCAGAATGGGCTATATAGTGAGTTCAAGGTCAGCCTGCACTACATAACGAGACCCTGTCTCAACACCTCCCCTCCAAGAAAAGTTGTATATATGGAATCATACAGTATATAACAGTTTTTGATTAGCTTTTTTTTACTCAGAATAATTGGAGATTGATCCAGGTTGTTGCATGTAAATAGTCTATTCCTTTTTATTGCTGAGTAGTCATCCATGGTATGGATATTTCGGTTTACTTAACATTTACCTTTTGGGGGACATTGGATTGTTTCCAGTGTAGGGATATTACAAATACAGTCGCCTTGAATAATTTTATGATATAGCTTTAATGTAATCATTTAATCTTTTAGAGCCTGGGAATAATAACAGTCACACAAGAATG